TAATTGAGTTCTAGGGAAATAGCTATGATTTTAGTCAACTGCAACATTGGATTTGGCCGAAAATAGGGCCCAAAGTGGGCGAAATTGCCAACTTTGAGACCGCTAACTTCGCAAGAGCATAATTCCGTAAGTTTTTCATCAAATTTCATACTTTTGGTGTCATTATGATCGGAAAAAGATTCTCTATCATTTCATAAGAAAAAATTATTTTTTTTTTTTAATTTTTCGACCCTGAGAACGAGTTTCGGAGAGGGCCTCTTGACCCTCAAAAGGCTAACTTTAGGTCCCTGTCCAAAGCCTTCTTGAAGACAGCCAGGGGTCTATTGGTAATCTCCCTTTTGTATGCTGGGAGGCAGTTGAACAGTCTTAGAGCCCCTGAGGCACTTAATGTGTTGTCTCTTATTGTGCTAGTGGCACCCTTGCTTTTCATTGGGGGATGTTGCATTACCTGCTGAGTCTTTTGCTTTCATAAGGAGTGATTTTCGCGTGTAAATTTGGTACTAATCCCTCTAGGATGGTGGTGACACTTTTCAAATTGCTTGTTCTCTCTCTCATTTTGTAATATTGTTCAGTACACAAATAACCCGCACATAAAAGAGAGAAGCTTATGACGACGTTTCGGTCCGACTTGGACCATTGACAAAGTCACACTAACCAGAAGTGGAGCAGGATGGCTATATATAGGCAGGAAGAGGTGGTGGTAGTAGTAGTAGTAGTAGTACAAGAATGGTATATAATACCGACAAGGTGAAATTAAGACACATGCGCAACACCCGGGCATCCCTATCGGGTGTTGCGCATGTGTCTTAATATCATCTTGTCGGTATTATATACCATTCTTGTACTACTACTACTACCACCACCTCTTCCTGCCTATATATAGCCGTCCTGCTCCACTTCTGGTTAGTGTGACTTTGTCAATGGTCCAAGTCGGACCGAAACGTCGTCGTAAGCTTCTCTCTTTTATGTGCGGGTTATTTGTGTATCGTTCCAGTCACGGTATTGTGCCTTTTTTTGTTATTTAATATTGTTCAGTGTTGATTGCTGTTCATTGCAGGAGAGAGATCAGAGCTGAAACATTCAGAGATCATTTATGGACTGCATAGACCCAGTGAAGCGTTTAAATTACTACGAATGCCTTAAAAGTAATAAATATGTAATCACTGGATCAGAGGAGAGATACATGATAATATACTTCCAAAGTATTGAGGGCCTTGTCCCAAATCTGCACACTGCCATAATAACATACTGGAGTGAAAGATACTGGAGGAAGTGCAAAATAAATCCAGTGAAAAGCAGGGGTGCCTTGGGAACAATAAGGGAAAGCTGCATCAACGTCCTTGGACCCAGACTATTCAGTATCTTACCAGAAGATATCAGGAACACTGCTGGGACAAGTGTAGAAATCTTCAAGAGGAAAGGCTACCTGGAGAGTATTCAGGGGATCAGTGCTCCCTGTGGCCTGGTCCACAACCAGGCCTCCCAAGTGGGCAAGTACAGTGGAACCTCTGCTTATGAGTTTAATCTGTTCCGTGACCTTGCTCGCATCTGGATTTGCTCATTTGTAGAGTCAATTTTCCTCATTTAAATTAATTGAAATTGAATTAATTCCTTTCCAGAGGAATTCCAGGGACGACAAAATACTTCAATATTTTCCTAATATCAACACTTCATCTAATATAACATAATAAACAATATAAATAACATAGAAACCTGATATATACTCTAGAATGAATAAAATATGTCATTACATATGTGGCTATGTAGTGGTGTTGGCAGTGGACGAGAGTTTGTTTGGAGACAGGACAAAATGCTCCTTAAATATTTTGCTAATATCAACTCTGTGGCTTATTTATCTATCATAATTCATCTAATATGACATAAAAACAATATAAATAACATAGAAACCTGATATATACTCTAGAATGAATAAAATGTCATTATGCGACAAGTGGAGACAGCCATAACCGCTCCCGCATTGTTGCGGTATTCACTGCCATCTAGTGATGGCCTTCAAAGCCGTCTGTTATAATTATTATTATAGCACATTATTATTATGCATGTATTATTATATTATTATACTATTATTATTCTACATATTATTATTACATTATTATTATTATTATTATTATTATTATTATTATTATTATTATTATTATTATTATTATTATTATGTATTATTTATTACCATTTGAAATTTTTATTCACGCAAAAAATAGAAGATTTACTGTTATGCAGACTACTGCATTATTGTAATAACTGTATAACTAATGTCAACCCATTCATGACTGCATATTGGAATGGCCACTCGGACAGGTATTGGACGGTGACGTCATTTGTTTACTCTTGAACATTGCCAAAGAATCGAACATTTCCGCTATTTTGAGCTCAATTTCAAGGTACTTTTTGTTGTGAAAGCAATCAAAATCATATCTATTTCTGTAATATATCTTCCATTCTATCAAATGAGACCAAAAAATGAGAATACAACCATAAAAATCACACGAAAATATACCGCTGAGAAATGAGCTCCATTATTTATGGTCCGATTTCTCTAAATTTTGGTGTATGTTAAGAAGAATCTTTCCATCATGTGATGCTCACGTTTCGATAAGATAGTCCAACAAGCAACTGAGATCCAATTCCCTAGGTCAAAAGCAAGAGCCCCTCGCCAGCGTCAAGGAACCTCCCTTGAGACCCACTTGCGTCTGGAAATTTCACTCACGTATGGAAGCAAAAAATCAACCGAGCGACTTCGTATCTGGAAAAACGTGGATGCACTTGTAAGTAGAGGTTCCACTGTATCTTTACCAGGTGCCAGACCAACCAGACTGTGATGGTTGACCAGGCAAGCACAGATGAACTGGAAGTAGAAAAGCTCTTGGAACTCATCAGAGGTATATCAGAGGTAATGTACACTACCTCCCTCACCTTGGTGCTTTGTTTATATGCATCCTGTATGATTACCGGGAGTGCTTTAAAATCTTAAACATATACTCACTGGAGCAAAGGAAAGAGAGATGCATGATAATATATACCTGGAAAGTATTCAAGGGCCTGGTCCCAAATTTGCACACTGCCATAACATGCTGGAGTGAGAGAGATGGGAGGAAGTGCAAAATAAACCCATTGAGGAATAGGGGTGCAGTTTGAACATGGGAACACTGTATCAATATCTGGGGTCCCAGACTATTCAACATCTTAACAGAAGATATCAGAAACATGGCTGAAACCAGTGTAGAAGCCTTCAATACGAAACTGGACAAGTATCTTCACCAGGTGCGAGATCAACCAGCCTGTGATGGATATGTGGGGCAGCAGGCCTCCAGCAGCAACAGTCTGGTTGACCAGGCAAGCACCAGATGAGCCTGGCCCATGGCCAGGCTCTGAGAGTAGTGAGACTCTCGAAACTCATCAAAGGTATATCAGAGGTATATCCTATGTGATACTTGACCTGTGTTAGTGAATTGATTATTGATCTTTTCATCTTCTCTTCTCGTCTCTGGAGAGTAACCATGACACCCAAGAGGAATGTGAGTGATCTAAGATGCTGTACAAGCTTGTGCAATGAATAACCCAGGTTTTGTGACTTGAAAAGAGACTTACAGATCACAACAGTTAAGTAAGGTGAAAAAGTTATTGAGCAGATTGAGAAAAAAACAAAAAACAAACAAGAAAGGTGCACTAATTTCATCTTAATTAGGAAAAAGCATTAGAATGAATAATCCAGGTTTTATGACTTGGAAATAGACTTATAGATCACAACAGTTAAATAAGGTGAAATTTTTTTGAGCAGATTGAGCAACAAAAAAATAAAAGTGCATTACTTAATTTCATCTTAATTAGGAAAAAGCATTAGAATACTATAAAACAGTGTGTTATGAGGAAGGCATGAACAAGAGTGCTTGTTTGATATAGGTTGGTCCACAAGTTCAAATTCCAATGTCGGTTTCATACTAATAAATTTTCTGGTGAATGTGCTTCTGCTGACCACACTGCTGTAGGAAATTTTATTGGTGAATTACAGGAAATTATTTTTGAGGGTACAATATTTGAAACACTTCAGCAAAACTTTGAGTGATCCAAGATTCTCAGTCTTGCGTAGCAAACTATCAACTCTCAAAGTGTTGTTGACATTGTTAACTACTAGGTTTGAGAGTTACACCACTACTAAAATATGATACTCAGCACCTTTCTAGATTTCTGTTATAACAATAACTTCTTCACTGTCAGTGCAGCAGATGAGTCTTGTAAAACAAGCTTTGATCAATATTGAGAATGAACTAAAAGAAACTCGAGAGAAAATTTGCAGCTCAAGAACTCAAAGAGCACAACTAGTTTGCTGGTAGTTTCAATCAGAAATGATAATGAGGAAAACACATGTGCAACAGTTAGGTACCTATCTTTATTTCTGAAACATTTTGCCCCACAGTAGCCTTTTTCTGTCATAAAGGCTTTTACTGTTCTGATAGAACTCTAATCATTGAGAAAACCAGGTCCAGTAGATGATGGAAAGGTGGAAAGAAGCATAATGGCATGAAAAGTGTTGAAGTCTTAAACTGGTGATTTAAGAGAAGGACTGGTAGGCACGAATTCCTGTAGTGGTTTATTGAGCTAGGTATTCTACAGAATATTTTTCATTCTTCAAAATGTACACGGTACAGGAGGTTCAAAATCTACCAAAAAAAATTCAGGGAATTTCAGCTTATGAATGTGTTGATTGCGTTGAAATTTGTAGTACAGAAGATGGTTGTCTTGTTTGTGTTGCTGATCTACTTGCTATTTTAAAAATGCAGTTTATTCCTAAGAGTGCTGTGAATGTTTGTAACTTGGAAAATTTGTAAATTGAGACTTCTGTATTGCTAGGGTTTAATTTAATAGAAGATGTGTTACTTTGACTCAGGTATGGATAGTGGCACATTATACTATTATAAATATTGTTGTAGATACAATTTTATGTTTTCAGAGCAGTGGTAATTTGCATATATATTTTTTTTCAGGCCACAAGACTACCACAATCCTGCTGGACGGGAAGAGGGTCAAATTACAATTGTGGGACACTTCTGGCCAGGGACGCTTCTGCACCATCATACGATCTTACTCACGAGGGGCACAGGGAATTCTGCTCGTGTATGATATTACTAATAAGTGGTCCTTTGAGGGCCTTGATCGATGGATGAAGGAGATTCAAGAGGTTAGAAATAAGCCTTATTTAATTTATTGTATGTCAAAATTATAAATTATTTTTCCTGCAGTCTGGGAAGCCATTCATGTTTCAGAAGAACTGAGTTATCAGTTTGAGCTTATATTATTTAACGTAACCATCACATGCCTAGGTTGAATTTTATAAAATGTATTTTGTCTTAGAGATTAAGTACAGCCTCTCCTCACTTAGTGACGTACTCGTTTACCGACAACTCGGACTTACGGTAGGCTCTATGACCAATATGCATACCTAAACAATGTACAGTAGGGCCCCACTTATACGCCGGGTTAGGTTCCAGGCTGTCGCCGGAAAGCGGACATCGCCGGAAGGCAGAATGCCATTTTTTTCCATTTACAAATGCATATAAATGCCAGACAACAAGTTTACACTAAATTATATTAAGTTAGTAATAGAACTAGGCATTAAAAACATACAAAGTAAAATACATTCACAGTGAATTCATTACTTATCTTAAAGTATTTGTAATCTTAATGTAGGGAGGGAGGTGAGTAGTACTTATTTGTAGGAAGTCAGGTGCAGGTAGCCCAGGTGTAGGTAGCACTGGCTCCCCGTCTCATACTTAATATACGATATTTAAAACATCCCAGAGAAGTAAAATACACATACAGTACACTCATTATTTACCTTAAAATATGTGTAGTCTTAATATAGGAAGAGAGGTGAGTAGTATTTATTTGTAGGAAGTCAATGTAGGTAGCCGGTAGGTGGCCCAGAGCCATATTATTAACATCGACATGCCTTGTTCACTGAATTTAATCATTTCTAACAACTACCTTTAGATGCCATCATAAACGAAGGTAGAAGTAATGAATAATTCATGCCGAAAATTGTAAACAAAAGCGGAGTGAGGGAGTGGCTGGGCCAAACGCAGATTCATACATGTTTTCTCTGATGGCTGAGCTGAGAAAATGTAATGTTGTCCCTCCACCCAGCTACCACACAGCTCCACAAGTATTATTATCAGAGCACACATAAAATATGCAATAAATGCCAGACAACAAGTTTACACTAACTTATATTAAGTTAGCAATAGAAATAGGCATTAAAAACACAATAAAAGGTAAGATACACACAGAGTACACTTATTACTTACCTTAAAATATTAATATTAATGTGTGAGAGGTGAGTGGCAGGGTGTTTATTGAATAAAATCAGAATGGCATGCCATCATCCTCTAACTTGGCACTTAAAGCAAGAGGCTTATGACTTCTCTTTTTATCACAGCTAACCTTAGACTCCATCGTCAATGAGAGCCAACTAGTTAAAGAAAGAGTAAATGAGAGAGAGAACGAGATACAGAGTTGAGACAATGTAAGAACACAAACTGAACAGGTAGTGGATGATCACTTGGTCAGGCGAAATAAATGCGTATTAATATGTGTCTACTTTTAGTTCATTCACGTCCATTTGTAAGAGTTTGTAAAATATTTACCTTTAATATTTTTTTATTATAATAATAATTACCTCACAATACAAATACTCTTACATTGTGTACAAGTTGTACAAGTTAATTCAGAATAAACAAACTGCAACACACCATTTTTAGAGTAAATGAAGATATTAATAATAATAATAATAATAATAATAATAATAATAATAATAATAATAATATATTTATTATTATTATTATTATTATTATTATAAAAAGCACTAAACCCACAAGGGTCGTGAATTGCTATATATAGAGTAAAGGCATACGAAAAGAATATTTTTCTACAAGTATCCCCCAGTTTGACTAGAGAAAACGTAATTCTTCCGACACTACCTACACAGCCGCTTTGTAAACAAATCTCATATTTACATCAATTTTTATTCTGTGAGTCTATGTATCATGTTCATATGCTATGTAATGGGTTTCATATATAATTTTGAGGAAAATATCATAGATGGATTAATGAAAATGCCTTTATTGATGTAAAATAAGACATTTAGTGTGCCTAAGAGTGATTATTATTACGTAGTATTGGCATCATGAGTAGAGAGAGACTTAGCGATTTTAATGTGTACCTGCACACTAGCACAGTGTGTAAGTATATTTAGGTACAGGTACACTTAAGTATAATTATCAGAGTACATATAAAATATGCAGTAACTTTAAAACACTTGAAATTTTGGAAAATTTCCTGACATAATAGATGTCACGGAAAATGTAAACAAACTGGGTAGGGGGCGCCGTATTTGAAAGACCGCTTGCCGTATAGCAAATTTTGGTCATAATTTGACATCGCCATATTAGCGGAACACCGTAAGGCGAAACGCCGTATAGCGGGGCCTTACTGTATATTAGAGCTGATTTCCTCTATTCTGTTTATTACAATATATGTACAGTACACTAATGTATAAACATTTAAAAAACATAGTGCAAATGTTATAAATGGTGCAGAGGGGACATTAAATCAGTATCACAGATGGTTGACACAAACCCACTACCATTATAGTATACGCCTTGTTTAGCGGCGAATTCATTTACTGACGTGGTCTTAGGAACGGAACTCCATCGTCAAGTGAGGAGAGGCTGTATGTATGACAGCCTCTCCTCACTTATCGACAGAGTTCCATTCCTAAGACCATGTTGGTAAACGAATTTGTCACTAATCGAGGAATCACCCCTTACTGACACTTCAGAAGTGTCACCACCCAAAATTAAAACATTCAGTTTTATGTTTGCTGGGAAATTCCTTTCAATCTGTTTATTATTAATGGTAATACAACATAAAATAGGTCAATGACTGACTTCCGAGATATTCCAGGAAACGCGTGCATAGCTGATCACTTGGGACTTTTTTTTTTTTTTTTTTTTTTTTTTTTTTTTTTTTTTTTTTTTTTTTTTGAGAAAATCACACTCTTTTTCAGTCTTTGCATAAGATAAGAGTGATCTTTTATAGTTACCCATCAGGCGCATAGTGTGTAACGTTTTCTGTAATGGTCATAGTCACTTTTTTTTTCTTTTATCCCTCCCCGGACTCCACCCTTCAATACCTCTCTGTATAATGTCAGTTTTTATTAATTTGGGCATCTTTATCATGCTTCTACATTATTTATGATATGTGTACCTAATATTATTCTGGAATAAATATGATAGGTAGATAACCTTTATTGATAGTGGAGGCTGCTGCTATGGGATAAGATCACAAGATAGATACGTTTCCTCATCTGTACCTCTGGTCTATAACGAAAGAAAGAGGCGTTTGCATCAGGGCAAACACTCCCAGATCACTTGTCGTGAGAAAAAAACTAAAAAATACCTCGATTTTCCCCGATTTTTTTTTCTGGGTCATATGTTATGCTCTCTGTCTCACGGCATCTTAAGAAAAGATTTAAACTCAGTAAGCAAAGTATGTCGGTGGGAAACGACCGATGTGTTAAAAAACAATTTTATTTTTTTTTTTTATCATCACACTGGCCGATTCCCACCAAGGCAGGGTGGCCCAAAAAAGAAAAACTTTCACCATCATTCACTCCATCACTGTCTTGCCAGAAGGGTGCTTTACACTACAGTTTTTAAACTGCAACATTAACACCCCTCCTTCAGAGTGCAGGCACTGTACTTCCCATCTCCAGGACTCAAGTCCGGCCTGCTGGTTTCCCTGAACCCCTTCATAAATGTTACTTTGCTCACACTCCAACAGCACGTCAAGTATTAAAAACCATTTGTCTCCATTCACTCCTATCAAACACGCTCACGCATGCCTGCTGGAAGTCCAAGCCCCTCGCACACAAAACCTCCTTTACCCCCTCCCTCCAACCTTTCCTTGGCCAACCCCTACCCCGCCTTCCTTCCACTACAGACTGATACACTCTTGAAGTCATTCTGTTTTGCTCCATTCTCTCTACATGTCCGAACCACCTCAACAACCCTTCCTCAGCCCTCTGGACAACAGTTTTGTTAATCCCGCACCTCCTCCTAACTTCCAAACTACGAATTCTCTGCATTATATTCACACCACACATTGCCCTCAGACATGACATCTCCACTGCCTCCAGCCTTCTCCTCGCTGCAACATTCATCACCCATGCTTCACACCCATATAAGAGCGTTGGTAAAACTATACTCTCATACATTCCCCTCTTTGCCTCCAAGGACAAAGTTCTTTGTCTCCACATACTCCTAAGTTTTAATTTTCTTCTTTTGCACACCCTACCAAATTCATCCACCAATCTCTGCAACTTCTCTTCAGAATCTCCCAAGAGCACAGTGTCATCAGCAAAGAGCAAATGTGACAACTCCCACTTTGTGTGATTCTTTATCTTTTAACTCCATGCCTCTTGCCAAGACCCTCGCATTTACTTCTCTTACAACCCCATCTATAAATATATTAAACAATCACGGTGACATCACACATCCTTGTCTAAGGCCTACTTTTACTGGGAAATAATTTCCCTGTTTCCTACATACTCTAACTTGTGCCTCACTATCCTCGTAAAAACTCTTCACTGCTTTCAGTAACCTACCTCCTACACCATACACCTGCAACATCTGCCACATTGCCCCCCTATCCACCCTGTCATACGCCTTTTCCAAATCCATAAATGCCACAAAGACCTCTTTAGCCTTATCTAAATACTGTTCACATATGTTTCACTGTAAACACCTGGTCCACACACCCCCTACCTTTCCTAAAGCCTCCTTGTTCATCTGCTGTCCTATTCTCCGTCTTACTCTTAATTCTTTCAATAATAACTCTACCATACACTTTACCAGGTATACTCAACAGACTTATCCCCCTATAATTTTTGCACTCTCTTTTATCCCCTTTGCCTTTATACAAAGGAACTATGCATGCTCTCTGCCAATCCCTAGGTACCTTACCCTCTTCCATACATTTATTAAATAATTGCACCAACTACTCCAAAACTATATCCCCACCTGCTTTTAACATTTCTATCTTTATCCCATCAATCCCGGCTGCCTTACCCCCTTTCATTTTACCTACTGCCTCACGAACTTCCTCCACACTCACAACTGG